TCATATAAACAAGTGGATTTTTTTAGGAACTAGAGTGTATGGCAACAAAATACAACGTTATACTTGTTATAAAGTCTTAAAAGTATGAAGTGAACTCACCTTGAAGGGTTTAGGGAAAAACCCAAAATGGGTGGCCACACGACCACTCCAATAAAACAGCAGCCGAGAGACAGAAGGGGAAGGAAGTGGCTCCGGCCGTTCCAGACGCGGCGTGAGAGGGGGGGTTTCTGGTACGACACAACCTTGGCGTGGCACGGGGACAGCAGCTGCGGCTGTTTCTGGTTCTTCCGAACGGCAGTTTCGGCCTTTTCTTGACCCCTTTCGAATAGTGACTTCGGCTATTTCTCGTCCCTACCCAACGCAACTAAGACTGCTGTGATTTGCTTCTTCTAAACAGCAGCTAAGGCTGTTTCTTCGTGCCCCAACAGCGGCTATGGCTGCCCGTTCGTGTAGCAATAGCAGCTACGACTGCTCCTTCGCGTAACAGCACCAGCTACTTCTACTTCCCTTGCGTAACAACAGCAGCCAAGGCTGCTCTTCGTGACTCGACAGAAGTGTCGATTTTYTGTTTACTGTCGACCAAAASWGCAGCTATCGATTCCCTTCGGCTCTTCCTCTAAATAGCAGCTATCGTTTCCTTTCGGTTCTTCCTCTAAACAGCAGCTACGTTGCTGTTTCTTCTTTCAATCCCGTAGCTCCAACTCCCTTTTCCTTCTTTCCTCTTCTCTTTTTGTTTTTCTTTCTTCAAGATGGCAGGAAAAGAAGGGTGAGACCTAACCCCCTCTATTTTTTTCTTTTTACTTTTGAGGATAGGACATGGTAAGGTCATAGGACTGCAAACCCCCTTAGGTCTTCACTTTATAGCTTTCTTTTCCAATGTACTTATTTGACTATATATATATATATACACACACACACACACACACACACTCACTCTAGACAAGGAATTAATTAGATAAAATAAGTGCTCTAAACTTCTAATAGATAAGTAAAAAAAACGTAATACCTTAGTAACGAGACGAGAATCCTTGCCACGAACAGAGCATGGACTAGAGGAAAATCTTCGAGTGTTACAATCCTCCCTACCTTGGATTAAATTTCGTCCTCGAAATTTTAGTTCACGCGAAAAGGTGAGGGTAACGCCTCCTCAAATCCTCTTCCGCTTCCCATGTCATGTTTGCCCCTCGATGATGCTTCCATTGAACTTTAACCAAGCCAACCACCTTGTGCCTCAGCACTTTGGTGTTTCTTTCCAAGATGGCTTCCGGTTCTTCTACGCTTTGCTTGTTCTCATCTACACGAATTTCCGAAAGCGGTATCACACTTTCTTCTTCCGCCAAGCACTTACGAAGGTAACACACATGAAATGTGTTATGGATTCCAGCCATTTCTGGTGGTAGTTCTAATTTATAAGCTTGAAGTCCCACCCTAGCCAAGACTTTAAACGGCCCTAGGAAACGGGGACTTAGCTTTCCACGCTTTCCAAAAAGGATAATACCTTTCCATGGGGACACTTTTAGCATTATGCGGTCGCGCACTAGAAATTCCATAGGTCGGCTCCTCTTGTCTGCGTAGCTCTTTTGCCGATCTTGAGCCGCCTTTAAGCATTCCCGAATACACTTCACCTTGTCGGTCGTTTCTTGCACGATCTCAGGGCCAACGAACTGTTTCTCACCCGCCTCAAGCCAACACACAGGAGTCCTACATTTTCGTCCATACAGTGCTTCGAAAGACGCCATCCCGATACTAGAATGATACTATTGTTGTAGGGGAATTCTACAAGAGGTAGGTGAGAGTCCCAAGACAAGAAATGTTACGTAATCTAAAACAAATTCTCCAAAAGCACTCCAAAAATAATGGCTAAATTAAAACTTTAGACCGTTTACAACGAAAAACTTTAAAAGAATAAATATATAACTTAATATTAGCCCGTCCCATACCGGGTTGCTTTACAAATTTATATACCATAGATGATTGCACCTAAATATTGAACTTAAATGGACTAGACAAGTCTCTATGTATGCCCTTCTTTTTCTTTGTCCAACCTGAAACTTTCTGTCCCTGATTTACGTATAGATTGACTACCGATAACTCTTGACCAAATGCCTACACATTTCATACCATAACATCTCATTAACGTCTTAATTTCTCAAAAAGTCAACAAAAATCAACTAAAGTCAAACTTCGTATCCGAGCATCTTAATATGCCTCAAACAACTCTATTTGACCCATCATTAAAATCCACATGGATCAAACGTGCCAAAAGTCAACCCTTGGTCAACTCGATCAACCCCGACTAACTTTAGTTAAGCCCCACATCTAAAACATCGATGGCATCCCAAAAACATTTTAATATCTTGTCATTTCATCTCTCTAAATTAAAACGTCACAATAATTACGGCACTCAAATCGTTAAAGAAAAAGTTTACCGATTCATATAAGCATCATTCTTATAAAATAAATAATTAACTAATATTAATAAACAAAAAAAAGTAAATTAATTAATATATTAATTAAATACTAATTCAACTTAATATATTAACTAATTTAGAAATTAAATTAATTAGTTAGTATAAACTAATTAACTAAATCTGAGACATAAAGCTACTAAGGTTTTATAGAAGACCTAAAAACGAAATCATCCATATAAAGAACTCGAATTTTGGTTGAGTATTTTACCTCCAATCGTCAATACACGAAGCTTTTCGAACCCGAACTTCTATGAGTTCTTACACTAACTCTTTTGTCCAAAATACTTTGGACTTTATTTACTTTACTTACCATAATACGATCATGCCCTCCCAAAGAGATGTATTTAACATCCATTTATCATTGATCTGAACTCTCCCATTGGCATGACTTTACATGTACCATGCATTTCTATTATACTCATGTTGTTATTTAACTTATACTAGTAACATATGTGACCATTGCACTTTCATGCATCTAATGCAGAAGTTATGCAGACATAACTTTCATGGTTGAAAAATGAAATTACTAAATGCATCATTTCATAACTGAACATTGTTGGAAGTATTCATCAACCATGATGGACGATAGGTAAGCACTACTCATGATACTTTATCGAACATGATACACAATGCTAATGTCCTTACTGATACTCTGATGCATACTTAATGGATACACTAATAGTTGCTAAAGACATTAATGCTTAAATAACATTCATACTAAATATTGTTGAGGTATTGCATCATAACTTATACTACATGCTCTACCTTGCCTTGCCATCTCTCTATATGGTATGGAACACATATTGCATCACTTACCTCACTAGAAAGATCTCAACCATTGTTTGTTTTACTAATTTGACTTCATACATAGGCCCTTAGGCATACACTAGTCCTTACCGAATCTTGGAGCTTTCTCTGACTTAATATCACTTAATTGACATCTTAACGTCCCTTTTCTTTATAACTTATCTCTATCAGTGTGTTCTATGCACAAAGATTTACATAATCCTTATTACATTACTTTTCAGACCTACCATGTTAGAGTCCATATTTTGCTCAAAAGCTACAAGATTTCATCTGACTTTACGGATAGCAACTCAAGGTCGTAAATCATTATTTATTTCTTAGCACTCTCTGATTAAAGAGTTTCTTACCATATTGTTTGAGTTTTATCTTTTAAACTCAATCTGATATCTATCCTTATAATTCGTAATTCGATAAATTCTTATCTTTCTTTGCTTGGACGATAATGAATCATATTTATCATAATTATTCAATAAAGCTAAACAATATCTCTAGCCAAAGTTTTCCATTTCTAATTAAACATGGGTTTGTAACTATTGTGATATATGTACAAATAAACTTTGAGTCACGGTGGTAATATTTATGAAACTTACATGCAATTACCATGCTACTAACTCCCAATCATCTGTCGGAATAACATTCTCATGTCCATACAGTTGACTTAACGTGTAAACGACCAACTTGTCTCGTTACATCAATACTAAGTCTACTTCGAACTTCAAGTTATCACTGAAAACCACACTGTTTTTTAGTACCTCTGATAACCATCAATTTTTTTTCCATATATATATATATATATATATATATATATTAATAATAGTGGATTCAAGTACACAAATGTAACAACTTACTCAAAATGACATTAGCTAAGTGAAATTTTGAATAGGTTATACATAAGGGTTCTCAATCTCCATCATCACAGTTCATGAATTATGCGACTCGGATGACTCTAAAATTCCCTTATCTTAAATGTTCTACCCATAACTCATCAATTAGCGCTTAAATTCTTAGCTTAAGTCTAGGCATCTTAGTTCCTTACCTAGTTCGCTTAAACTAGAGCTCTGATACCAACTTATAACACCCTAAAAAAAAGATAGTCTAAACCGAAAATATCTAACGAGAACCAGAATCTTAGATAAAAAAATTTTCACCCAACAAAAGTAATAGTATAGCGTTTACAATTCCGCTACTGAGAAGATAAATAACAACCTACTAATCTAGATTTTTCTAGATTAAAGACGGGTATTTCTATCAATCTCCAAAAAAAGCCGTAAGATCAAAAAAACGCAACGTTCAAAAGTAACAAGGCTATAATTACAAAAGAGCCTTTCACGAACCAACGCTCCTCTCAACCCTTTAGAGCCCCTCCGTTAAAGGAACCTAAAAAGTAATTATAACAAGAAAGAGAGAGGGTTAGGCTTACGCCTAGTGAGTCCAAACAAAAGAGTTT